TTTTAGTGACTTAATTGCATTTCTTTTTAATTGAGCCCTATGATAGAAAGTGCTAACAACCTTTTACACATGATGGGGTAATTCGGACATTATCTGAAGCTTTCGATGTCAATTTAGTTAAATTTCATTGTTTTTAAAGAATTATCGTACGGTTTGTCATTATTAATGGATATGCTAGAATGGATCTTAATTTCACGTAACTTTACTTTTTACTCCATATGGGACATATAAAGTATATGTACATTATTTCGTCACGTTTCCAATGATGGAAAAGCTACGGTCAGAAATTGCGTCAATTAAAATATATATTAAGATATTAATTCTGCCTTTTTGCTAGTTCAAAAATATTTTATCAACTCATAAACACGGAGGCTCTTGCCGTCTGGTTTAAACAACACAACTCTCTTTTATCACCATTAAGTTCTATATATTCAAACTATGAGATGAACTCTTCCTAAATGAAATATTATTAGCATCTGGGGCAACATATAAAATTGTAGTAACGTTATAGTAGTCCCATGCCGCTTCGAATTTCCAAGGCAAGATAATTGAGCTATTAAACATTCCTAGATTCAAAAGCCTAAATTCCTAAATTAATTTCGCTTTATTTTTATCCAGAAGCCTATATATTCTCATTTCCACATTAACCATATCTTTTTAGCTTTCACAGCATGTATCAAAACCGATATTTCTCCTCAATTGCAGCTACTTTCACACTTGTTAATCAAAGAGGCATGACTTATATTAGAGGTTATGTGCTCTTAATGGTAGTGGAACCGAGAGGGTGTTGTAACAGTTACTGTCGCCACTTGACTAACATTAGATTCTAGTTTTATTCGCGTAATATGACTTCGTTTAAATTGCCATAAATGTAGGATGTGGAAATTAGTCGAAACCGGAACTGTACTTTACAATTTGCTGGAAAAGGACAAGGGGGCTTAACTAATTAAGTAAAATCTGCTAATCATTTCCATGTGGGCAGCAAAGAATTAGGCGATTGTTGGAGATAATGTTCCTAATATTTCTAAGTGCTTATTTGAATTTTTGCTCCTTACTAACGTAATTATATTAATCTGATAACATTCTTACAAGACACCATATTTAGATGTTTTATATAACCTTTATAAGGGAACATATGGCTATGTTGTTTTCCTTTAATATAGGTAGTCTCTTATCTTCAGTTATATGGGAGGAATTGGCTAATTTGATTATTTGCCTTGAACATTCCATAGCTTCACGGAACGTATGGATCGTTATTTAGAAGAGGCCTTCCGACTCAACGTAAAGTTCTCACTTACAGAATTGCAGCGTGCTATCAATGGAGATGGCCGAAACGATCCAAATCCACTCTTTAAGGTGGCCCTCAATCTGGAAAATGATTGTCTCGTGTTCATGCCCACATTGCCAGAGCTAACTCATGTGGTTGCCTCACTGTGCGGTAAATTCACAGAGATCATATCGTCAGTGCGAAGACTCCCGGATCTTTTGAGTCGAGTCAAATCAAACAAAAAGGTAGATAATTAAAAAGAGATAGAGTATACAAAAAACAATAAATAGCAGCTTAGGAAAAGTGATTAAGGTGATAATTAAATAAAAAAATTAAGGGCGAATAAGAAAATCAAACTTAAATGTTATATTGTAGAATAAAAATTGACATATAACAAAGATTTACTAATATGCTTATACAAGGCAGTCTTCCCAAGGTAATAGTTCAGTGAATCTAATTATTAGGAAGTAAGGATGCAAGGTAACGATAAATATACGTTATAATAAAGGAAAAGCTTTCCTACTGAGAAAAAGCATTTC